CAAAGGGTTTCTTGAAAAAACAAAATTTTAAATTTTTTTTAAAAAAAAGCCAAAAAAAAAAAAAACATTAAAAAAAAAAAAATTCCCAGAGTTAATTTTTTTTACAAAAGGCTTTTATCAACAAAAAATAAAAAAAATTTTTTTTAAAAAAAATAGAACCATCCCCAGGGGCACACAAAAAAAAGAATTTTTGATTTAAAAAAAAATTGAAAAAAACTTTTTGACCCCCAAAAAACGACAATTTTAAAAAACCAAAGTAAAAAAAAAGAAATTTTGGTTGGAAAAAAAACCTTTTTTTTTCCCCTTTTTAAAAAAAAAAGGAAAAATTTTTGCCGGGAAATTTTTAAAAAAAAATGAAAAAGGGAAAATTTTAAAAGGGGTTAAAAGGTTTTTTTTTTTGTATTTTGGGGGATGTAAAATTTTCATTGGCCCCACGAAACCCCTTTTCTTGGGTGGTTCCAGAAAAATTTCCCAAATTTGGGTCCTTTTTTAAAAAAACCTTTTTTAAAAAAATCTACGTGGCGCTCTCCCCAGGCTGACAATAGCAATTAGGCTTATCAATGAGTTTCTTCAGTATAGTCCAGATGCAGATTATATTTTTTGACTCCTAAAGCATAATTTTAAAACATATTTATACTTATCTAAATTTTAAAGAGTAATTTTATAGTTCCTCAGTAGATGTAAGGTTGTTTTTGTTTACAAATTGTATGTGTTTTCTTTTTGATGGTCTGAGTTTTACTACTGTAATAGTATGTAGTTTATTTTTGTTAAAATGAGCATAGATACCTATACGCGATTTGGTGTACACTGTGATGCTTATATTTTATTAATAAAGAATTGAATTGAATTGAATAACAAATTAATTGTAGTAGTGAAATTTCTTGAGCCGATCAATAAATCCGTACTAATTATTCCATCACTACCATATAGTATTTGTTAATAAAAAGTTTAGTCATAGAGTAGGTATAGGTAATTTAAGTTTGAGGTTTCTTTCTGTTTTGTTTCTTTTTAAAAAGACAACGCCCGCATCAGGAATTGTATAGTCACGGTACTATTATAATACAGTACTCCAACTTCATACAAACGGACGAAACGCGAGCTATACCTACGCGGCTCGATCTCGGCACGGTACTATTATAATACAGTAGTGTAACTCGGCCGCATGATAGAAATAAATGCCTACAGCCGCGCGGTACGTAAACATGCGTTAGGGCTGCCCGTCTCCAGCATTTTAATTATATTTGCCTACTTTCTGTTCCTATTTAGATTTGTGATTGTAAATATCCTTTTTATATAAATAAATGAAATACTTTGTATATTGAATAGGAAGTGTTCAATAAAAATGCGTGTTGTTTTTGATTGGTAGATTAATTATTTTATTTTCTTTCTGCATTGGAGGAGTTCAAGTTTCAATTTTCTTTTTCTTGGAGTGTGCTAGACAGACTCGTTGAGGTTTGAGCAAAGATTTCATTAGTTGCATTTTCAGTCTGTGTGCTATTTTCATTTCCTACCAACGGAGCAGTTTGGGTTTGTTTATCTTCTTTAGAGATACTCCTGGATCAGTACTAGCTAAGCTTGGCAGCATCAACAATGGTAGGGCATGATTTTTTTAAAAGTTTTCTATTTGATGAATGTAATACATCCTCCAAATTAAAACGTTTTTTCACAAACTTGGTTGGAACTAAAGTTAGGTTTGTTTTCCAAATTCCAAATCCAAATTCCAAATTCCATTTTACTCTCATATTAACTGATTTTTAGAGAAAAAATCGCGCGGTTATTGTTAAAAAAAAACACGCCCCGAGCGCACCCCGAGATCGAGGCGCGTAGGTATAGCTCGCGTTTTCGTCCGTTTGTATGAAGTTAGAGTACTGTAGTATAATTGTACCGTGATCTCGGGGTGCGCTCGGGGCGCAGACAGTCACGGCTGTACCGCAGTGTCGAACGGACTGTGTGTTGTTTTTTTAACAATAACCGCGCGATTTTTTCTCTAAAAATCAGTTAATATGACGAGTAGGAAATATTGTGCTGTTTTTGGTTGTATGAATTCGTCAATAACGCATCCAGACATAAGTTTTTTTAAATTACCTGGAAACTGAAAGGTAAGACTATAAAATAATTTTACTTACTAGTAGGTAGGTCCATAATGTGTCTTTTTTGATAGATAAGTATTTCCTTTTATCTCACGAAAAAAAAAGGTGTTTGGATGAATAAATAAAGCAAATAGAGTAACGGAAAGTTATTGAGACGAGTGAAATAGGGAGTTATATGCGGTTCTGAATGAATCATGATACGGTAGGTACCTACCTACTTACGCTTGTGTTAAAACTTCGGTGCATGTATGTTTTGTTACTTTGCATAATTCAAAGTAAAGACTATTAATAATATTTGTTTATTATCTGTGTGCATGAATAATACTAAAAAAAAATTTTTTACCGTCTGTGCGTCATAAGACAGTTTTCGAAATTTTCACAAAGTGTTTCTGCTGCTACTATAACAACATATACCACTAAAACCTGGTTTTATTTTCTCGGTATTAACAACAACAGCTAGACTCATATATAATATTTAGATGTTTGAGGGTTGTGATTTTAAAACATTCGTAGTCAGCTGTTCAGCTTTTTAATAATTAATTGGTGACTAAAGAATTTTTGTTTTGAGTTGTTGCGAGTTGTAGGTAGGTACCTAATTTATAGAGACGTTAATAAGCTGAGATAAAAAGTTACTTACTCGTCAGCTGTTTCTTGCATTCTAGTTGAGTAGGTAGGTGTTGGAGTTTCTAAGGATTGGAGTTTTGTAACGCGTAAGGAGAAAGCACATTTATTTTATTTTATAGAAGGATTTTTTTCGGTCGCAAATTTATAAGCCCGATTTGTTTTTCAAACAAAAACATGTTTTTTTAATTAAATCTACCAATCAAAAAACAACACGCATTTTTATTGAACAATTCCTATTCAATATACAAAGTATTTCATTTATTTATATAAAAAGGATATTTACAATCACAAATCTAAATAGAAACAGAAAGTAGGCAAATATAATTAAAATGCTGGAGACGGGCAGCCCTAACGCATGTTTACGTACCGCGCGGCTGTAGGCATTTATTTCTATCATGCGGCCGAGTTATACTACTGTATTATAATTGTACCGTGGTATAGTCCTGTGTCGCGGGGGACTTTACAAACACACATGAAAATAGTGTACGTTGTAAATAGGTATTAGGTTATTAGGATGGGATATTTTATGTAAATAGATAGTGTTAAGTGACGAATTGACGAAGGCTAGCATATCGCGAACAAACCCTATATTGCATTATTTCTGTAATAATGTTGGAGAAAATAAAATAGCATCCACTTGATTGCGAAAATCGCGGTGAGTTAAAATATAGTAAAAATGGGTTATTTATGTAAAATTAATACTTAGTGATATACCTTCAAGTTACGATCGTTTTTCATTTGCTCTCCTTGTACGAAATTGCGATATTAGCATTATCAATTAAGATGCTAAGACATGAGAATTCGCAATGAATTAAGCTAAATCTAATTATCATTAGTGCCCGTTACTAGGAGTGTTCCAGGAGGAGGAGTTCCAGCTCTTATTGCGAATACTCTTAGAAGAGACATCACAACAGTAATGCATTATATTATACATGTTAGGCGAGTGAGTTTGTATCTATCTATGTATGTGTGTGTGTGTATGAACACAAGCATTACAATTTGTAGTTGTAGTGCAAAAATGAGTGCCTAGTGAAGTGTGCTGTGGCCTTATATTATCAGTATGTACTAGATGGAGTATTGCTCTGCAAAACAACTAAAAGAAATGAGCCGAGTTTTTAATATTCACGTCACGTCTCTCTGCTTTCTTAGTGTCCGTGCAAATGTTACGAGTTATTGAAATTTTCTATAACAGAGAGAAAAATTATAAGTATTGAATCTATTTTTAAATCTAGAAAAAATAAACGAAATAAAACAACGATACAACACGTGACAGTTGCGGAGTCGGTCACATAAACAATCGAGTATCAGTTTTCATGGCACTTCCTTACGCGCCTATTTGTTTCTCGAATATATAATTAAATGTGGCAATAATAAATAACAACTACCTATGAACTTACCTAAAATGAAGATATCCTGTGTTATATTATGTCGTCGTAAACCAACTTCAATAATTATATCCACGTTACTAAAAAACTGCAAAACTAGTTCAACCAGGCGGATATTCTTTGGTTGTTGGGTTGGTTGTTTTAGTTCGGGAGTTTTTATGTTTTTTTTTTGAAGTCGGTTTTTTATAAAATTATTTATTGTAGATCTTTTTATGATAAACAATTCCGTAGTACATATATTGGTCTATCTCGTAAGGATTAGCCACCGTTTGCAATGTTTTGAAAATCCGAAATTTTCTTAACCGTAATTTGCATGTATCAAACATCAACCTTTCTCTTGAATCACTCTCTCTATTGGTGATAACCGCATTGAAATCCGTTGCTTAGTTAAGATCTAAGCACACTACACAAAAAAGCGACTTCAGTTTATACTATGTAAATTGTATATATATTGCATATAAAGATTTCCTGTAGTACAGTCTTATCAACGTCTACCAATAAGCGAAAGGAACGGAGGTCCATAGACCCCTCACGTCGTTTTATGTTGATCTATCTCGCGATCTAATTCTCGAATTTCCTCTGCTACGATATGCATGTGTTATATTCTCTCTTGAATCACTCACTCTTATGGTGAAAACTGCATTAAAAGATCTAAGCCGTACAAGAGTGAAAAATACTTCATTTCTACTATTTAAAGATAAAAAAAAAATTATTTTAGCTTGAGAGGTTGGAGTCTAATGGCCATGAAGACGGCGAGCCATTAAGACGCGAAACTGGCTTAGACATGGACGAGTTGTTAGCCCACCTGCAGAGCCCAACCACGGGCAGGAGAGTATTAATCTCGAAAACATATTTGGATGAGGAGACGACGGTCTTCGATATAAGAGTAGTGTCTAAGCATATGCCTGACGAAGATGTTTACGATGGTCTGTATGAGATCGCCAGTTACGGCTTCTATATTTATCTTCTTGTATAAAAATAAATAGTCCAAATCTGATAAAGCTCTGCCATCCAAACTTTTGCGCGACTTAGTGCAAAATATATTCGCCTCTTTGCAAAGTTCATTTTTACCAAGATCGATTAAACCACCCAGATTAATATTAGAGGCAGCATACGTCACAGGCACATCTCCGTAACCTCTTAATGCCTGAAACGCACGCAGTATTAGATGGAGGTATGGGTATGCAACCATTACTATCTTTTAACCTAAGCCCAATAGATTCGTCATCAAATTTAACGTACACGGCTTCTGGTAGCTCTCCATCCTCCAGTTGATCTCTCCTCAAGGCCGGCCATTTGATTTTTTTAGTATAGGTACCCATAGCTCCATTTATTAGTTCTTCTGATACGGCGATGTTGCGTCTCAACATCACTGGATTCGACGCCATTTTTAGGGTTACGTACCTCAAAAGGTAAAAAAGGAACCCATATAAGATCACTTTCTTGTCCGTCTGTCCGTGTGTCACCGCCGATTTTCTCAGGAACGGGTAGACCTAGCCAGTTGAAATGTATACCAGATACTGAGGTCTATGATCCCTATTAGGTGTATAAAAATCGAGGTCCTGAGTCAGCACGATAAAAAGATATGGACAAATTTCGATTTTCGCGAAAAACTTGTAAGTACTTACTTAGAATTTTCTCTTTACTTGTGCTGTAAGACCTTCCTTTTAACCAAAATTGACAATTCTAGGTCAACCGGAAGTACCCTATAGGTTTGGGTCGAAAACATATATGGTAGTTCCAGTGGAAAAATTCTAAAAAAAAAAAAAGTTGAAAGTTAAGATAAGTTTTGGTACTTGGAAATTTTCGCGAAAATCTACGTAAAATCTGGCTAGGTACGGAACCCTCGGCGCACGAGTTAGACTCGTACCTGACCGGTTTTTTTTTTGTTAAATTTTTTGTTTTTATGCTAATTTTTTTCAGCACAAGGCTGGTTTTAAATGTTTTTACGGGCCGAAACCAAGTAAATAAGATGGTGGTTGCAGTATGTACGTATAGTGCTGTTCCGTTATCTTCAATATGCATGAACTTTCTTACTCGGTTCGGCTTGTGTTTAATATTGCTGCTTTCTGTAGGTTTAAATACACGGGTTCATTTAAATGTATTAATTTATGGCTATGGTGAAGATGTTTAGGTATAACTCCTGTTGTAGATAGACCTTATTATTGTTATTGGTATGCTTCAAGTTGATTAAGCTGTATTATTGGTATGGTTCAAGAGGTTGTTGTCGTGTTCAAGTGGTGGTTGTCGGGCCTGTAAAATTTGAGGGTTTCGATTGCTCTAGGATGCCATCATCAGATCCTGATTTGGTGGTAATGGAAGCACTTCGGGAGCATACCTTTTCGATTACAAAAATAATTTTGCAAATCAGTCCACAATTGACGGAGACAAACAGACAAAAAAATACAGACGGATTGATAACCTCCTCTTTTGTGTTTATGAAGTCGGTTAAAAAAGTGCAGTACGTTAAATTTAATTGTTATTTTTCTATTGGACTGCAACAGGCCAATAAGTTTGTCGAAATGACGTGTGTCGGGGGAGCTAGTTGCAAAATATAATCTGTTTGATTGAGATGTATTGAACACATTTCTGGTTATCTGACCCCAACTATGTAGAGATATGTACACTGGTAATCTCAACCACACCGCTGATAAACATTTTAGTAGTTGGTTGTCACTTACCATCAGGTGACCTATCTACTCGTTTGCCATGAAAAAAAACACCAACAGAAATGATTTAATTCGATCCTGTATTCCTGAGAGATTGCGTTAATCTCAGGAGCCTACTGGTTCAAATTGAACTGATTCAACCAAACAAACAAATAAACTCAGCTTTATAATATTAGTATAGATATATATAATTAATGTCAGTATATTGTTCTATTACAGAAGCGGATGTGATCAACTGTCACGTGTGCGATGTGGTTGTTCCGAGGGCGTATTTCAGGATACATGCTCAGAGCAGAATACACCAGAATAACAAAAAAATAAGTGCATTGTTCGTAGAAAACCTCTTCAGTGATTACACTCTTCTCGCGCATGATGTTATGAAAAATAGGCATTTTAATTCATTTTACTGCACATCCTGTGTCAGACTGGTTCCCGATGATCAAACATTGGCGCACGGCTTGTCCGTTGAACATTTCAAGTCCACCGAAAAGGAGTCTGCGTTAAACGTCTTCGTTGAAATGTTTATTGACAAGAAACGAGAGGAGTCTGCGGATCTTGATGATATTCTCTTCTACGAAGTGGAGGATGATGAATTAGATTCAGGGTTAAACCCTCATCAGCCTGAAGGAATAGCTTCAGGGTCAAACGGCAATCAGCCTTCAGAAATATCTTCAACGTCAAACAGTTATCAGGCTACAGAAATAGCTTCGGGGTCAAGCGATCATCAGGCTGAAGGCAGGCCCGCTTGGCTTGACCATACTAGAGCTATGTTCCGGCGTAAGGTACGTTTGATTTAGCCCGCGGCTCCGTCCGCGTGTATGTCGGTTATCGAGGTCAATAGTAGCTTATGTTCTTTTTCAAGAATCAAATTGTCTCCATACAAAAAAATCATCCAAATCGATTCATCGGTTTAAACGTGAAGAGTCAACAGTCAGACACACTTTCGCATTTATAATATTAGTATGGGTGAAACTTTTCGTCCGTGTGGTGACGGATTAAGAGTACAGAGTGTCACCACCCCTATTCGTCCTGTGGGTGTCGTAAGAGCCGACTAAGGCAGAAAACTGCGCAGAACAACAGCAATGTAGACAGAAGGAAATCTTGACACAAACCCTATATCAACCCGTCTGGCCGGCGTGGTATTGTAGGCCAAAACCTCCTTGCTAAGGAGAGGCTTATGTCCAGCAGTGGCCTATTAATAGCTGTTGATGATGATTGATGAAACTTTTATTAAAGTAGGTACTCCTTAAAAAGCGACCCCTGTCGGGTCCGAGGTCAGTTAACACAAATAATTAGGAAAAGTAAAGTTTTTATTGTAATACATGAAAGTGTTTTCAATCTTACAAACAGTTTGTTTTTTTTATGATATTCGACTGGCTGGTTGACGCCAGTCGTGGGTTCGATTCACCCCCAGGATAAATAATTGTGTGATGAACATTATCATTTGTTCTGTATCTGGGCGTAATTTATCAATTATGTGTATGTATTTAGAAATATATATGTATGTTTATCAGCAGTGTAGTTACCACAACACAGACTGCCTGGTTTGGGATCAGACGGCCGTGTGTGAGACGTGTGAGGGTGTTATTATGATGATGGAGACGGAAGGTTGTCTATAAACATAGGTATTTATATTCTACTCATGCTGAACAACGTCGTGTTGGAACTCCCAGAATTTGTTATACCCAGGGTTGGTAACCATATGAAGCTGTTGGTTTAGGGTTACGTAGACCCAATGCGAATTCGTTGAAGTAAGTTGAAGTATGTTTTTGGAACGAAGTTCCTGGTAGTTAAATATTATCAAAATCGGTCCAGCCGTTTTAAGATTACCCAGAACAAACAAACAGACAGACAGAAAAAACATATTAAAACTGGTTTTAATCCAAAGGTATCGTGCAAATAATCGCGAAATAAGCATGAAAAGCCTATTATTTTGACATTACAAACAGACACTTCAGTTTTATTTATTTGTATAGAGAGATATAAGTATGTATGATATGTTGCAGATAAATGGTTTATGGAGTCACGACTTGGTGAGCAACAAATACTATTTAACTCGACCGCAAGACGCCATTGCAAAGGGTAACGACAAACCACACCCAGAAAATAATACTCCCAAAGTAACCGAAGCACCAACCTTAACAAATAAGAACAATAGCTTTGTACATTGTGAAGTTTGTGACATAAACATACATGGACATAATTTTGCTGGACATGTCCAAGGTAAACATCATAGGAGAAACCAAAGGAAGATTGATAAACAAAACATAAAAGCGACACAAAACTCAGTCCAGACGCAAGAAGACCAACAGGAATATGGCATCACTCAAGATCATGTCGACGATAGAAATGGACCGATGGACGTCGAGGCTTTCATGGTGTACTTAAAAGAGATGGTTTCAAAATATAATTTGAAATACACACTGCCAATTGTCAAAAATGGTGGTTTAGTTGTTGTCACATCCCATGGATTTGAAGCGGCTACAACTGTGGAAAGTTTTCATGGGTACTGGCCGACGGAGAGCAGTATGTATTGTCAACTGTGCGAGATGACGGTATCTGTTAACACAAGAGTCCACAGCGAAACTCGTATCCATGTAAAGAATATTACACAAGCCATAGATGTACACTTCACTCGAAAGGTAAGTGCAATATACTGGACTCTAATGTGTAGACTGTGTCTTACACTCGCTTTCCATTGACCAAAGATTTTTTTAAATCGGTTTAGGCGTGAAAGCTAACAAACAAACTCACACATTTATAATATAAGTATGGATAGCTTTGACGTATTTTTTATTTTAATAAACATAAATATAAAAAAGATGGGACGGCCTCTGGGGGTGGCGAGCAGGGCAACCGCCCGCCGCCTCGCAAATGAAGGGGCCTCGCAATGGCAAAGGCCGCCACTGAGCTGCAAAGTTTGTTTGGTTGAACGCGCCAATCTCAGGAACTACTAGTTCAAATTTAAGTTTAGTGTTAGGTGGCCCACTCACCGAGGAAGGCTACAGTCTGTATAACATTCACAAACATTTCCTCAGAGACCCACACGAAGTTGGTCAACTAGTAATAATATTATATACTCCTTCCTTACTCTTATTTGCCGTGAGAGATTTACGCGTCGGCACGTACAGGCCGACTCGACCGTGGCGATACCGTGACCTCACAGAACACCGGACTTAAGTAATCAGAGCGAGGTTGCCGTAGCCGAAACACTCCCCCCTCCCTCTCTGCTTCCCCCACTCTTGACTCTTGGGGGTGCGACTCGAAATAGGCAATGCACTAGTGACGCTTGACCTGCAAGTATCCATGGGCGGCGGTGATTACTTACCATCAGGTGATCCGTCTGCTCGATTGCCCACTCTGCTCCATGTTACTCTATGCCCATCATTTTGTTTACAAATGATTCTCAGGATAATAATTAAAACTATTTTTTCAGATAAGCGTAGTGACGTCTCACTGTCTGCTGTGCAACTTAACCGTCTCTGATAGCGCCGAACATGCGACCACTGATCCTACCCATTATTCTTACATGAAAGACCGTGTCTCTAAGGTTGAGCAAATCGAAGGTACTACAGATAAGAAAAGGAAGCTAACACACTGTGACGTGTGCAATATTTATTTGACTCCGAATACTTACGAAGACCACCTCAAAGGCAAAAGGCACTTGCAGACTATAAGGCAGTATTCTGACCAAAGAGAGACACCTGCAAATATGATCTTTTGCCCTATTTGCTTGAGAACTATACATTGTAACAGTTTCCAAGAACATTGCAATGGCAAGAGGCACAGTGCGCTGGCTAAGAGAACAGCACGAGAGTCGCAAACTCAATGTGAACCTACCGATCAAGGGGACACAGCTCGCTGACAACAGCGAACAATGAAACAAATTTTCTGGTCTTTAATTAGAGTGACCGAAGCGAGTGAGGTACAGTTTACAGACAATTCTCAGGCTTTGGCATAGTTATTAGGTTAATGTCTAGATATGTTATCATCTATCATAAAAATATTATGTTACACACGTTCAGAAAACAATTTCATTGATTAGAATTTGATTGTGCTACTAACGCCATCTGTCGATAATTATAAAATCAATAAAACATGTATTGTGTAACAGTTTATCAATTGGACTTAGAGTTGTGTAGCTCCTAAGTGAGTGATATAAAAGATATAAATCATGAACGCCGATAAAATGTATCACTCACTCACACTAGGTGCGAATATATCAGTAACTCAGTACAAGCTCACTAGATCACTAGCTCAACGACGCCGATCTTTGTTTCATGAGCGAGTGAGACTAAAGATAAATGAGTGAGATAGATGATGGTTGAGTTCACGCTCAGTTTCTTTATGCAAAAATGTGCATTATGTCTATAGGTGCAAAGTTTAACATTACTTAATTATTGTTTGAGAGTTAAGCCTGCCAAGTATATGATATGATTTCTAATATACAACATATAAAACAGTACAAAAAGAAATTATTATACGTATTTCTTATTTCTAATTATTTTATAAGAGGGTGTTAATAATTATGTAAACTTTTAAAAATAGATTAAAAAAGACGTGTGGCACTCGGGGACTGCCGCGGTAAAGCTATTGCATAGCATTTTGTATCAACTTATGCAATTATAATTATTTATTTATTTTATTTATGCAGTATTTCTTTTTCTTTGATATTAATTCAAGTTATACTTTTTGAGCGTGGTGACCGATAAGAAAACAATTTTTTTTTCTTTTATTAAATAAAAATATTGAAGCATATATTACAATTTGTCTTTAAATAAATAAATAAAAAATTTCCTTTGACGTTCAGCATTTGATTTTGGTACTGTTTTTTGTTTTGTTTTTAGCGTGAGGTTTTTTTCGTTACGGAATTTCTGGATTCGGTCACCGCGCTCAAGGCCCTCGATAGAAGCTATGCAATAGCTTAAAATGAAGTTCCAAGAACTGAGGGTGATCCTATTTCCAGTCCAGTATTATCCAGTTTTGAAAAAAATACGAAATTCAGTTATTACCATATTTATATATAAAAAAAATGTATTTAAGATTTTAAATTGTATGTTATGTTTTTTTTTGCATTTTAAAACAAACTGTTTTTCACGTCTGCCAATTTTCATAATTCATTACAGGTCAATAAATGTCAAAGGTACTACTACCATGACGATTTGTTTTGGGTGGGAATCAAACCACTAGGCAAAAAAATAATTAAAAAACTATATTCTTAGTTTATTATTGTTTGCTAAAACATTTTAATTAAATAAGTGTATAAAAAATATGTAATTATGAAAAATTTGTACAAGTATTTTCTAATTTAACGATACATACACATCCCATACCACACTTATCAACTATTTATCAATAACAATACATGACTACACATACTCATATGTAAATACACAAGCATTTCTACATTAAGTACAATATATGTATATTGTACTTAATGTAGAATATACATCTGAATATCTGAATATACATCTGTGGCACCTCCAGCCTCAAGTCCTCAGATGACCTCCGACATTTTTCATGTGATGACACATGAAGGAACTGGGAAAATGAGTGTTCTGATTTGATTATTTTATATTGTTTCAGATTAACAAATCATGGAATCACTGTCTTGTATGCAATATCACGTTTTTAAACAACTCTGATCACGCATCTTACAGTCGCATACATAAACAATATTATTATAATCAAGCTGACGCACCCCTGCGGGATGAGGGTGGCGAAGGAAACCCTGAGAAGAAAAATTGTAACGACATGGATAATGTGCTCACATCGATTTTGAAATCAGAAGTTAATAATTAAATTTAACATTTTTATCTATCAAACAATCATGTAACATCGTTTTTTATCTAATAAACCGACTTCTAAATAAATTATAGTTACAAATACACGCGTTAAAAGTAAACCGAACTGAAAGTTAATTGTAGAATTTTAAGATTTTCATTTATTTTACTGGCAATGATTCTGTGTAGTTTTTTAAGCTTGCTCTTATCAATTGATTTTTGTTTTTATTTGATTTGATTGATTCAACCCAACTGACCTGAAATTTTGCATGCGCGTTTAATTTGGATTACAAACAAATTAATATATAAATGAGAACAGTGTAACTGATTATGTAATAAATGTAGACAAGGCTCTCAACACTTCTGTTGAAAAGGTTCTATGAATACCAGTACAAAAGTACGATACAAAGCCCCCCAAGCTTTCTTAATTTCTTTCGTTGAATATACGATATTGATTAGTTCGGTTTACTATGGAACCTTGTTTTTAATCATTTAAAACTATAATTTGTTTTAACTTTGAATTTTAAATGTGTGTTTTATTTTTAGTTTCTAAGCCAATGTGTATTTTTAGCTCACTGCATCTCCGTGTAGGATTCTTTACCTTCCTCAGGCCCTTGTAGGCCAACTACAAAATTACCAGATTCTTAGTTAATTTTACATTTTTAAGTCTAAAATAATTTTTCGTTAGACACGATGTATGTAGTGGGGCTTAGGTCTTATAAAAAAAAATCTTGTCGAACATCAGTCAGCACACAGAATACAGAGCTTGTCACTGACCCTTAGAAAGGAGGTTTTGGCCTACTGTACCACGCTGGCCAGACGGGTGGGTATAGGGTTTTTTTCAAGTTTTCCTTCTCTTTTCAGTGCTGTTGTCCTGCGTAGTTTGCTCCCTTAGTCGCCAGTAGTAATTTTTGTGTGCGTTACCCCAGCAAAATAATGTCGAAAATGGCCATTTAAACGTTATAGATAATTAGTTGCTCCCCTTCTGTAATTGTTAAGCACATTTTTAAATTTGTTTCACTTAAACTGTTTTAGTTATTTCAAAAAAACATTTCCTGCTGGGGTAACGTTTGAAACGTTACCGCAGCCAGACATTTTCTTTTTTAATTGTAATATTGAAATAAATTTTAGCTAAATAATTAGTTATCTGGACTAGGTAAATGTTACAACTTATTTGGTATTTGTATTTTCTTCGGCTGCGAAGTTATTCGAAATCCTGCTGGAGTAACGTTTGTGGGTTTGCTGGATCTCTGAAACGGGTAAGCGGATTGTAACCATCATTTGTACATAACTTCTTAAGGATTAGTTTTAATTTGTTCGACAATAAAATAACAAAAATAATGGACCGTTTAAAAATTATTTAGGTAAGTATGAAAACACTTCAATACGTCCTAACACTTTAAATAAGACCTCTAAAGACTTACTTGAAACGTTATTCTATTGCTTGTAACTACCTTCAAATGTATACGAATTTTCGTAAGAATACTGTAAGTGACTAAAAAGTTATGATGAAATGTAGCTCTCCACGTTCACGATCACAATGTGTGCGGCCTTTTTTGGCCACCGATAAACCTGTGTGTGGATATATAAACTGAATGTTATGCCAATAATTAGTTGTTTAGTTCAGTTGTCTACCTGTAGAATTTCAGCGTCGTACATATAATAATTTACGAGATAATTAAATAAAAGTCATTAGAAGGTGCAAGACCGTGGTAACCCGACCATGTTTAGGTGGTTACAAAAAAGCGATCACCCAGTACATTGCGCTGTCTTTTAAAATGTTTAGTGTAATACACCTTACGATTTCGGTACAGTTGCGTACAGTGTTAAATACATTCAATATTTATTCATTTTTATTACCTATTATTTATTTTGTTTTTTTCCCTAATTGATCTTAAGTACTAGTTTCTTTACTTAAAATTTATTTAGTCTTTTTTACTACCGGAGCTACAATCAACAGAAAATCTGCACTGGTCCGCTAAAATTATAAATATGTAGATACATGTATGAACGATTCACCTGACTGCAATAAAACGAAAATTTAAACCAATAAGAAATCGCTTCATTTCTTTGATTTTTTTTTGTAAAGAAATAATACTAAAGTAATTGTGTTTTATTTTGGGGTGTATAGAGCTTAGACACGGTACTATTATAATACAGTACTCCAACTTCATACAAACGGACGAAACGCGAGCTATACCTACGCGCCTCGATCATTTATATAAAAAGGATATTTACAATCACAAATCTAAATAGAAACAGAAAGTAGGCAAATATAATTAAAATGCTGGAGACGGGCAGCCCTAACGCATGTTTACGTACCGCGCGGCTGTAGGCATTTATTTCTATCATGCGGCCGAGTTACACTACTGTATTATAATTGTACCGTGGCTTAGACTTGAATGCATCAAAATATTTAAAGCAACAAGTCATCTACAATAAGTTAAAATAGACCGAATAGTAGAAGAATACAGTTGTAAATTAGAATGCATCAACATTGCATCGCCCAACAGTCGTATACCTCGTAAGAGTAGGTAATATTGTTCTGTGGTCTATACCTAGAACCGAGAATTATCTATACCTATGTACCTACCGTTAAGCGTTGAGCCCGTGACTGTTGATTTCTGTTAAAAACGAACAGTTGTTGAATGATATTTTGATATAATAACGGTAATTTAATTTATCGAGTGAAAGTGATACATTTTTATAGATAAAATTATTGGTCAGATAATATTTGTCAATCAAGAATCGCTGATAATACATCCTTCGCTAGAACGCGGGAGGGGAGGGGCGAAGGGATACTTCATTGTTTGCAATTTGCATCTAGTGCACTAAACTTGACCCTTAGGCAGATAATATACGTGTTGTAAAGTACGTGTGCGCTTCCGCTTTCTATTTTTGCAAATATTTATCGTATTCTTGTGAGTTCTTCAATATGTGTGTACCTAATTACTAATAATAGGCATTAATGCTAATTCGATTCAATTTAAGTAATTGTCAATTCTTGTCTTAGGATATTAATTACTAATGCTAATATTGAAATTTCGTTCAGGGTGAACAAATTAAAAACGATCATAACTTGTAGGTAATATCACTTATTACTAATTTTACATAAATAATTTATTTTATTATAATTTAACTCACCGCGATTTTGTGATCAAATATTTTAAATTCTCCAACATTATTACAGAAATAATGCAATATAGAGTTTGTTTGCGATATGCTAGCCTTAGTCGATTCATCACTTAAAAAAAATCCCCATCTATTCACAAAATACCTATTTACAACGCATACGTTACACTCTTCAAAACTTAAATTAGCTATACCTACCCTAAAATTAAACTTCAATTAACAAATACTACGCAGGTACCAATTCTATAAACAATTCACCTAAACATTACGAGAAAACAAAAGCATTCAAAACAATACCTAATCTCCCGGCTGATTACTTATTATGCAATAAACAATCCTAAATAAAAAATATTTAAAAAACATGTAGTTTTTTGTAACACTTATGTACATATCCGTAGTAAACTTGCAAATAATATCCTACATATTTTAAAAGCCAGCACAGTGTACTGGGTGATCGCTTTTTTGTAACCACCTAAACATGGTCGGGTTACCACGGTCTTGCACCTTCTAATGACTTTTATTTAATTATCTCGTAAATTATTATATGTACGACGCTGAAATTCTACAGGTAGACAACTGAACTAAACAACTAATTATTGGCATAACATTCAGTTTATATATCCACACACAGGTTTATCGGTGGCCAAAAAAGGCCGCACACATTGTGATCGTGAACGTGGAGAGCTACATTTCATCATAACTTTTTAGTCACTAACAGTATCCTTACGAAAATTCGTATACATTTGAAGGTAGTTACAAGCAATAGAATAACGTTTCAAGTAAGTCTTTAGAGGTCTTATTTAAAGTGTTAGGACGTATTGAAGTGTTTTCATACTTACCTAAATAATTTTTAAACGGTCCATTATTTTTGTTATTTTATTGTCGAACAAATTAAAACTAATCCTTAAGAAGTTATGTACAAAAGATGGTTACAATCCGCTTACCCGCTTCAGAGATCCAGCAAACCCACAAACGTTACTCCAGCAGGATTTCGAATAACTTCGCAGCCGAAGAAAATACAAATACCAAATAAGTTGTAACATTTACCTAGTCCAGATAACTAATTATTTAGCTAAAATTTATTTCAATATTACAATTAAAAAAGAAAATGTCTGGCTGCGGTAACGTTTCAAACGTTACTCCAGCAGGAAATGTTTTTTTGATATAACTAAAAAAGTTTAAGTGAAACAAATTTAAAAATGTGCTTAACAATTACAGAAGGGGAGCAACTAATTATCTATAACGTTTAAATGACCATTTTCGACATTATTTTGCTGGGGTAACGCACACGCGTCCACCTCACCGTCACCACCCTCTATTACCTACATTTTCAAGTCACCCATTTCTTTCTACTCTTCCTAATTGTGTTAAAATTTAAGAATTGATCTGAACTTTGCTCTCATTTATGTTTTTGATGGGATACATAACATAATTTTTCGTGAACTCCATGATCTAGCTCTTAGGCGCTGTCTCCACGAGCGAGAGAATCGCGACGATATTATCGTCGTGCCACGTATTTCTATATACTCTCTATGAACGCGTCTCCACACGGCGATGTTATCGCGGCGATGCGACGAGTGGCAATGTGCGCGTGACAAGATATACTTATTTTGTAAACAATTATTAATTTAAAAACCTATTTTTATTTTGTGTTATTTGCACTTATCAACTTTAAATTATTTTTATATGAATATTGCTAACGGAAGTTGTACTGATTGATTTTTTATCTATTTCAAACTACTAATATGGTAGGGTAAAACGTTGGCAGTTCAGTTGTGAGGCAGCTACGGAACGGTACATCGATACATAAGTTAAGTACAGTTGTATTTATTTGCTATATAAGTTATTTTTATGGTAAACAGGCATTGACATTAGTATAACGTGTAATATTAGTGTTTTGTCTGTACATTTGTATTTATCTGCTATTTAAGTTATTTTAGGAAAGATTGGCATTGACATTAGTATAATGTATAATGTTAGTGTTTGTTGTAACTAAGAAGTAAATATATAAATAGCAATGTTATTGGTATTAAATTGATTAGTTATATAAATTACTAATAATGCTAGTAGTTGTTATGATAATAAATAATAGTGAATTTAAAGCATTAATCTATCGTTTTAATTATAACATCGTTCATTTCGAGAAGCTAAAATAATTACTCTAAAACATTGAATAATTAATAATCAAAACTTCTTACATATATTTATTTATTAATAAATTTCTAGTTTAAATTCATTCTTGACTTTCAGTATTTATTCCTTGACTTTTATCCCAACTGTGGGTATATTAACAAGAAATCTAACATCAGAAGTGGGATATTTCCAGCTCCTAGTAATAAATATTTTATTTTAGGATGGATTCTGAAGTGATCAGTGAACTCCTCAAGGCGATCCGGGACGCTGTCTCTACAACACATCAGAAGGATGATGACATCGCTCTGCCACTATTTGACCCGGATAAAAACGACTGTGGAGCTAAGAACTGGTGCTGCAGTATCGAGACACTTGCATCGGAATTGAAGTGGAGCAGTATCAAGACTGCAGCTAAAGCTGGTAAGGCCCTGAAGGGTTCTGCCTTGACGTGGTTCGAATCATGGGAACCTTCGGAAGGCAGATCCTGGGAAAAGTTTCGTGCTGATATCATCGATGCCTTTCCTGAAAGGAAAAACTTGTCCGAAAAACTCAGTAAGGCAGTATTATATAATTCAGACTCCGCGGACTCTTACGGAGAATATGCGAGAGAAAAACTGAGGTTATTTCGGAACACTAAAATCGCCTTCACCGATGAACAATTGATCGAATTAATTTGTGGGGGTATTAGTGATGTTGATGTAAGGATGGCTTCTCTAAATAGTGGCGTAACTACAACTTCTGCTCTTATCTCTCTTCTTTCAATATACATAAAAACCAAAAAGAGAGCCTTAGAAAATACTGATTCGGGCCCATCATCAGCTAAACGCCCAAAGCTCAACGGCGAAAGGAAATGTTTTGCTTGTAACCAAGTCGGCCATTTGCAATCTCAGTGTCCAAAAAGTAAGTCAGGTCACTCTTCTTCAAGGATTCTTAATCAAACTCCACAATTCCCTAAACCTACTGAATTTCGTACGAAAATCTGTACTTATTGCAAAAGGGTTGGCCATACCGAGGCAGTTTGCTATTATAAGCAGCGAGCAGAATCATCCAGCGCTGCTTCAATAACTGTCGTCCCTACTAAGGAAGTAAATTTTTTAGAAAAGCCGAACTAAATCTGACACGTGTTTTTATTAATGGTATACCCATTGATTCCTTGATAGATACAGGAGCAAATTGTAGTTTAATAAAAGAATCAATTGCAAAACGACTCGGATGCCATTTTTCACCAATATCCATGTATTTAAGAGGAATAGGACTTAATAAAATCCATGCTTTTGCTATAATTACTGTGGTCATTCAATGTGAAAGTGTTAGTATAGAACTTGATGTACATGTTGTCAGGGATTATGATTTTCATTATAATCTACTCATAGGTAGAAACGCTGTCAAGTACCCAGATATAGAGATTATCACCGATTCTTTAGGAAGCCGTTTCTCTAGAAAGGCGGTTGAAACCAAGGCAGAAGTAAACATATGTACTACTTCGACCGAATTAAGTGAATTAACTTCTAAAATCAAACATTTAGATTCAGCATTACAAGAAAGAATAAAAAATATTTTCACAAAATACCCTTCTGTCTTGGATGAAACCAGTACTGTGAAAACCGGCGAATTAAGATTAACTTTGGTTAAAAATGAGATAGTTAACTACCGTCCATATCGCCTAGCACCGATAGAGAGAGAGAAGGTTAATAAAATTGTTCAAGAACTTTTGAAACAAAACATAATCCGTGAAAGTGACTCCTCTTTTGCAAATCCGGTAATATTAGTAAAGAAAAAAGATGGCAGCGATAGATTATGTGTTGATTATCGATCATTAAATAAAATTGTAGAAAAGGATAGATACCCACTCCCTCTCATTGAAGACCAAATAGACAGGCTAGGTAAAGCAAAATTCTTTATTTCTATAGATATGAAAAATGGTTTTTACCAAATACCCGTTTCATCAGACTCTATAAAATACACGGCTTTTGTTACACCGGATGGCCATTACGAATTTCTGAAAATGCCATTTGGTATTTGTAATGGACCGTCTGTGTTTCAAAGAGCCATCACAAAAGCTGTTCATCACTTAAAGTTTATTGTAGTATACATAGATGATATTCTTATTCCTTTTTTAACCATAGAGGAGGGTCTTCAATATTTAGAGCTGACTATTCAGGCTTTATGCAATTCAGGATTTACTATAAATCTAAAAAAGTGTAAGTTTTTTGTTGAAAACATTGAGTATCTAGGTCGAACTATATCACAAGAGGGAGTGAGACCCAGTGAGACAAAGGTGACCGCCCTAGTAAATTCTCCCATCCCTAGTAACGTAAAACAGGTACGTCAGTTTATGGGTCTTGCAAGTTACTTCCGCAAATTCATTCCGGCTTTTGCTACTCGCACATCTTGTATTACCAATTTGACCAAAAATAACACAAAATGGGAATGGGGTCCCGAACAGGATGCGGCTAGGAATTATGTTATAAGACATTTGTCCACGAAACCCTTGCTTACTGTTTTCGATCCAAAATTGCAGACAGAACTTTACACTGATGCCAGTTCATTAGGATATGGAGCAATACTAGTACAAAGAGAAGAAAATGTCAAGAAAGTCGTAGCCTACTTTAGTAAAAGAACTTCACCCGCAGAGTCTAAGTATTGCTCTTATGATTTGGAAACTTTAGCAATCTACAACGCATTAAAGCATTTTAGAGTATATCTATTAGGTCTTAAATTTAAAATTTTTACCGATTGCAATTCCATCAAAGCCACAATGAACAAAAAGGATCTAACTCCTCGTGTTGCCCGTTGGTGGACATTTTTACAAGATTTCGAGTTTGAAATTATATATAAAAAGGGTAAATATATAGGCCACGTCGACTTTCTCAGCCGCAATCCTGTAGAGTCCCCAGTTACTGTCAGCCCAACAATACTGGTATCAAACTCTCTAGCACACCAATCTGAAATAATTTCAGAAAACGCCACATCCTTAAATGATTCCAAAAGTGTATATACGAGTAAACAAGTTTGTCTGATAGAGGACCCCCAGTCTTGGTTAGAAGTTGCTCAGCAAAATGACCCGGAAACACAACATTTGATTAGCCAGGTCATATCTGGTGAACTTGACGAAAACAGATATTTTTTACGGGACAATTTGTTATTCTATAGAGTTCAATTTAACGGATCAAAGTTGTATGTACCCAAAGGGTTCAGATTCCGCCTAGTAAGACTTTTTCACGATGAAACTGTCATGTGGGGTTTGATAAAACACTGAAAACAATTTCTGAACATTTTTGGTTCCCTCGCATGTCAGCTTTTGTCAAAAAATATTTAAAACACTGTTTAATATGTATCGAGCGTAAAGGTCACACGGGTCCAAAACAAGGCTTTTTACATCCCCTTAATAAAATTCCTATCCCATTTCACACAGTTCATTTAGATTGTACAGGCCCGTTCTCACAAACAAACGAAGGTTACAAATATATCTTACTCATTTTGGATGGATTCACTAAGTTCTGCTTGCTAAAGCCTCTCAAGACTCTCAATGCCCAAGAGCTAGTGCCTCTTATACGTGACACCATAACTCTATTTGGCACTCCGTCAAAAGTGTTAACTGACAGGGGTACAAATTTTAATAGCAATCAAATTCGATCCTTATTTAGAGAGCTTCAAATAGAGCATCATATGGTTGCCACGGGCACGCCAAGAGGTAATGGTCAAGCAGAGAGGTACGTAGCGACAGTAATTGATATGTTGAATACCACTTGTAACGGCTCGTCAGATTGGCCAAGCGGGTTGTGGAAAGTCCAACAATCAATTAACACCACTGTCCAAAAATCTACGGGTTTTACACCGATTCGTTTGCTCGTTGGTTGTAATGCAAATATCCCCTGTATTCAAGCACATTTGAATGATGTTCCCATACCTGAATGTAATATAGACCTAAGGGCAGATCGTGAACTAGCTTATCAGCGTTTATGTCAAAAGGCAAATAAATTCAAAACTCGATTTGACATTGTAAGACGAGACAATAAGGTTTTTGAGATTGGCAACATAGTATATGTAAATCAAGATCATCGGAGGCATGATAAACTGAGTCCCAGATTCAAGGGACCATATGAAATAACTGCTATCCTCCCCAATGATAGATATTCACTTAGAGGGATTCGTAATTTAAGGAACATTACTGTAGCTAAAGATAAATTGCGGCTATGGCCAGGTGAGTGGGTTGACGAAGATGTAGTGCCTAACAATGTTTAACTTTCTTATGTATTTTCGTATTGTTGAATATTATTAATAATAATTAATATGTAACATGTGGTTTTGATTTGGACTCCAAAATTGTCCTCTATGTATATTGATATCCTAAGGAAATATGTACCTTCACAATGTAATTGAGGTGAACTGATTGAGTTGAACTGCTGAAGTCTTTTGCTTTGTTCTAGCCTGTCTCATGTGCAGCAGGTGTGAGGCTAGATGATATTGTTGTCAAAGCAGCTGACCGTTGTTATAGTCTTCTTAATGTGAAAAGAAACTATAACAATGACAAAATGTATTAGTTTTAAACATTATTATTAATGTTATTTTTATAATTAATAATGTTAGTAGTATTTTGTACTTCGAGAACGAAGCACAAGTCAGTATGGCCGTGACAAGATATACTTATTTTGTAAACAATTATTAATTTAAAAACCTATTTTTATTTTGTGTTATTTGCACTTATCAACTTTAAATTATTTTTATATGAATATTGCTAACGGAAGTTGTACTGATTGATTTTTTATCTATTTCAAACTACTAATATGGTAGGGTAAAACGTTGGCAGTTCAGTTGTGAGGCAGCTACGGAACGGTACATCGATACATAAGTTAAGTACAGTTGTATTTATTTGCTATATAAGTTATTTTTATGGTAAACAGGCATTGACATTAGTATAACGTGTAATATTAGTGTTTTGTCTGTACATTTGTATTTATCTGCTATTTAAGTTATTTTAGGAAAGATTGGCATTGACATTAGTATAATGTATAATGTTAGTGTTTGTTGTAACTAAGAAGTAAATATATAAATAGCAATGTTATTGGTATTAAATTGATTAGTTATATAAATTACTAATAATGCTAGTAGTTGTTATGATAATAAATAATAGTGAATTTAAAGCATTAATCTATCGTTTTAATTATAACATCGTTCATTTCGAGAAGCTAAAATAATTACTCTAAAACATTGAATAATTAATAATCAAAACTTCTTACATATATTTATTTATTAATAAATTTCTAGTTTAAATTCATTCTTGACTTTCAGTATTTATTCCTTGACTTTTATCCCAACTGTGGGTATATTAACAAGAAATCTAACACGCGCGTAACGTCGTCGTATCGCCGCGGTATCGTCGCTACTAGCGGCGCTCTCGCAGCGAGCGCGCGGCGAGCGCGCTGTCAAATGCAGCGTCATTTCAGCGTTGCATCTCGCCAAGCAAGGACTTTACGTATCGACAAGCATACAGTATAAGTACAATGTTTAACATTGAAAAGTTTATATTTGAAGTGAGAGAGAGACCTGCCCTTTACGATGTTCAGTTGCCCGAGTATCGGAACAGAGAAATAAAGGCAAAGTGTTGGTATGATGTGGGAAGTGCTATGTTCACGGAATGGGATGACCTAACCTCTAAAGAAAAAAAAGAAAAAGGTAAGCGTTCAATACTATTTATTTAGGTAATTTTAATTAAGTTATAATTATAAGAAAGATAATTTTATTTAAACGATGTAGTCATTTTGCCAAGGAACCGCGCCCACTGTGTTAAAATAATATTTAAATAAGTTTCGAATATGCATCCCCGAATTCCTTGTCCTTTGAAGTACGGGTGTCAAATTTTGAAGATTGGATATGTCTTCATTGTTGCTATCAGTAGCATTGTGCTCATTTTCCCCGTTATTGGCCTTTAATGCTCGACGCTTTATGAAGTTGTGCAAAACACAAGCTGCTTTTATTACAAGAATTGCAGTGTCCGGTTGAAGATTTATTGTATTATGAAATATGCGAAATTTTGATGTGAGCTGTCCAAAGACACATTCCACATAACGTCTCGCACGAGACAGTCTGTAGTTGAAATTTTTTTCATGCGTAGGAAGACATCGACCTGGATACGGTCGCATTAAATTTCGATGAATACCGAAGGCCTCATCGGCTACAATCACATATGGCATTTTGGGTCCGTCAAATATCAGTTCTTTTTCTTCCGGCAAATCAAGAGCTTCTTCATACAACTTTTGACCTAGAATTGAAGATTGAAAAATAGTAGAATCATTTTCACGGCCATAAGAACCTACATCAATAACAGTAAACAAATAATTTGAATCCACCAAAGCCAATAAAACGATTGAGTTGTACTTTTTATAATTAAAGTATAGAGAGCCGCAATTTCGGGGGCACTGAATTCGAATGTGTTTGCCGTCTAGCGCTCCCAAGCAATGTGGGAAATTTGCATTGTCGTTAAATCCCTCTGAGATTCTTTTCCATGATTCTTTGTTTGGGGTTGCCATTTCTGTAGGTGCTAGCTCTTTCCATATAATTCCACATGTTTCTTTTATTACTTTAGCTAACGTTTTTTTAGAAATTTTGTACTTGTTCTGAAGGCGTTTATAACTTGATCCAGTAGCGAGATATCTGAAAAATGACATTATTATTTTAAAAATATACTTTTATCATGTTCTGCTTTTTTGAAATCGGTTCAAAAACGAAGACCCCACCAAAGCGTTAGGTTTTTATTAATCTGTGTTGTTTTTTATTAATATACATAATAATATATACATAATTACATACATATTATATATACGTTACATAATATACATATACATGGCATACATTTAATATAGGTACTAAAAGAAATGTGAATATTTATGTGTATGTTTGTGTAATCTGTATTATTTTTACGAAAAACAAATAACAATCAATTTTGGTTCACTTGTGTCTAGCCAGATTGTAAAAGTGCTTCAGTGCTATTCTAAATAAATAAAATTTAATTTAACAATTCTTTATTTCAGGACTTGAGTTAATGACAAAATGGAAATCTTTAAGGGATCAATTTCGTAAGGAGTTAAAGTTGCAGCAATGTTCAAAATCCGGTCAAGCTGCCTCAAAACGACGAAAGTATATCCATTATGATGCATTACTTTTTTTAAAGAAACACACAGAACACGCTTTAACATCGTCAAACATGCTCAATGAAGACAGTCAAGATGTTTTTGAGGATGACGACAGTTCGGTTAATACCACCCCCAGTGTTACTGAACCATCCACGTCGAATAAAAAGAAAACATTAGTTCAAATGTTTCTGGAATCGAATAAAGAGATATCGAATGTTATGCGCGAGAGCATAGATATACAAAAAAATAATGTTCAACGACAATATAACGACGAGCGTGGAAATGAGGCATTTTTCCGTTCGATGCTACCACTTATGGACAAAATAAAAGAAGATTATTTAATTGATGCCAGAACTGAGATTATGGCTGTGATTAAGAAATACATACCACCATCACATACATTGGAAGAATCATATTCTCGTACATCCACACCAACAAGCGATGACGATATTGCTCAAATGTTAGAACACTTTGATGGAATATAAACTTTACGATTTATATAACTGATGTAAGCGTTTAACACAAATAAAGCTGCTTAAAACTTACTGTAGTGTTACTGCTAATCTTTCACAGGGCCCGATACTTTTCCTCATATTAGTATCTTGCTTTGATAAGTTTCTTGACAGTAAACTTAACAGTTCATCGAAAACAGGAATTGGCATTAAATATTCATCTTCAAACCAATCTGGATGATGTCGATATTCTTCATAATTCACATGGAAATGTCCATGACTTTCACGACGTAGTAGCATAGGATGTGTCCACCAACGGCGCTTTTTTTCCTTTCTTAACAACAATAACTGAATATTCACTAGCGTACTTGCACAAGCACCCCATAACACTACATCCATAATAAATAATTATTTTATTGACTGAGACACTACTTATTTCGCTCTCGTCTGGCACCTAACTGAACTCTTTCAACAAATAAAAGCACAACGCAAAATCGGCGATTCCGTTACGAGTCGTCGCGGACGCGCTGCGATTCCGTCACGAGTCGTGACGATACGCTGGCGGAATAATCGCTCGTTCGTGGAGATTACCCGACGATAGAAGCGCGGACTCGTCGCGATTCTCTCGCTCGTGGAGACAGCGCCTTAGCATTTTTATACCTAAATTTTCTGATATTTGGAGAAAAATTAGCGACTTAATTTTTGTGCTATCAAAATAAAATCCATGATGGTGGCCATGCCAGGGTCAGTGACACAGATATGTTTTCTGTGTGCTGACTGATATCCAACATATTTTTTTTTAGAAGACCTAAGCCCGTGTGCGTTACCCCAGCAAAATAATGTCGAAAATGGTCATTTAAACTTTATAGATAATTAGTTGCTCCCCTTCTGTAATTGTTAAGCACATTTTTAAATTTGTTTCACTTAAACTTTTTTAGTTATTTCAAAAAAACATTTCCTGCTGGAGTAACGTTTGAAACGTTACCGCAGCCAGACATTTTCTTTTTTAATTGTAATATTGAAATAAATTTTAGCTAGATAATTAGTTATCTGGACTAGGTAAATGTTACAACTTATTTGGTATTTGTATTTTCTTCGGCTGCGAAGTTATTCAAAATCCTGCTGGAGTAACGTTTGTGGGTTTGCTGGATCTCTGAAACGGGTAAGCGGATTGTAACCATCTTTTGTACATAACTTCTTAAGGGTTAGTTTTAATTTGTTCGACAATAAAATAACAAAAATAATGGACCGTTTAAAAATTATTTAGGTATGTATGAAAACACTTCAATACGTCCTAACACTTTAAATAAGACCTCTAAAGACTTACTTCAAACGTTATTCTATTGCTTGAAACTACCTTCAAATGTATACGAATTTTCGTAAGAATACTGTAAGTGACTAAAAAGTTATGATGAAATGTAGCTCTCCACGTTCACGATCACAATGTGTGCGGCCTTTTTTGGCCACCGATAAACCTGTGTGTGGATATATAAACTGAATGTTATGCCAATAATTAGTTGTTTAGTTCAGTTGTCTACCTGTAGAATTTCAGCGTCGTACATATAATAATTTACGAGATAATTAAATAATAGTCATTAGAAGGTGCAAGTCCGTGGTAATCCGACCATGTTTAGGTGGTTACAAAAAAGCGATCACCCAGTACATTGTGCTGGCTTTTAAATCATCATCAGCCTATCGCAGTCCACTGCTGGACATAGGCCTCTCCCATTGCACGCCACTTAGATCGATTTTGGGCTTCTCGCATCCAGCTCCTGCCAGCCATCTTGCGCAAATCGTCACTCCACCTGGCCTGTGGGCGTCCTACACTACGTTTGCCGAGACGCGGTCTCCACTCAAGAACTCGTTTTCCCCAACGGTTATCGGTTCTGCGGCTAATATGGCCAGCCCACTGCCACTTCAGCTTGCTGATCCGGTACGCTATGTCGGTGACCTTAGTTCTCTGCCGGATCACCTCATTTCTGATGCGATCCCTTAGAGAAACGCCGAGCATAGCCCTTTCCATAGCACGTTGAGCGACTTTGAACTTGTGGACCAGCCGTACCGTAAGTGTCCACGTTTCAGCTCCGTATGTCATGACGGGTAGGACGCACTCATTAAAGACTTTCGTCTTAAGGCACTGTGGGATCGACGATGAGAAGACTCGACGTAGCTTCCCAAACGCTGCCCAACCCAACCGAATTCTTCTGTTCACCTCGTCCTCGAAGTTGTTTCTACCTAACTGCAATGTCTGCCCGAGGTACACATAATTTTGAACAACTTCGAGAACGGCACCGTGTACCGCAATCGGTTCCGGTAGTACATGTTCGTTGAACATGACCTTGGTTTTATCCAAGTTCATCCGTAGGCCGATGCGTACAGAAGTGTCAGCTAAGTCATTCAGCATTTGCTGTAGGTCCTGCAACGTCTCTGCCATGATGACGATGTCATCTGCAAATCGCAAGTGAGAGATGTATTCGCCATTGATATTGATGCCACGCCCTTTCCAGTGCAGCGTCTTGAACATGTCCTCCATTGCATTTGTGAACAATTTCGGGGAAATAACGTCCCCTTGTCTCACTCCTCGATGCAATGGTACGGGCCTTGTTTGCTGATTCTGTACTTGGACGGACATGGTGGCGGCTTCGTAGAGACATCTCATCACTTGGATGTATCGCCAATCTACTTGGCAACGCTGCAGGGACTCCAGAACAGACCAGATCTCGATCGAGTCAAAGGCTTTCTCATAGTCCACGAATGCTAGACACAGGGGCTGATTATATTCTTCGGTCTTCTGTATAATCTGCCGCACTGTGTGGATGTGGTCTATGGTGCCATATCCGCTCCGAAACCCAGCTTGCTCCGGTGGTTGGAATTCGTCGAGTCTTTGCGCAAGACGGTTCGTGATGACTCTCGAAAACAGCTTGTAGACGTGGCTTAGAAGGGATATGGGTCGATAGTTCTTCAACCTGGTCTTGTCACCCTTCTTGAAGAACAAGACGACCACACTCCTACTCCACGCTTCTGGAGTTCTCCCTTCAAACAGGACAGCGTTGAAGAGCTTTTGGAGCTCCCTTAGTACGGGTTTACCCCCGGCCTTCAGCAGCTCTGTTGTAACGCCATCCTCTCCAGGGGCTTTTCCATTTTTCAGCTGTCCAAGAGCCATCTCGATTTCGTCAATGCTAACTTCTGGCAGGTCTTCGGTGTAGTGACGTGTTAATGTGGCTCTAGAGTCCTCATTTTCGGGATCAGGTCGAGATGCATGCGAAGCGTATAACCGGCCATAGAAGCTTTCCACTTCCAAAAGGACTGCCGGCTTCGAAGCAACGACTTCTCCACTTTCTGTAGTCAACTTTGTCAGGTGGCTTCTTCCAAGAGATTGTACGAACACTTTTGACCCCCGATTTTGCTCGATCGCTCTTTCAATTGAAAGAGTATTGGAGCACCGGAGGTCGTGTCGTACGAGTTTACTGATCTCTCGGTTTAGAGTCCGCTTTGCCGACAAAGTGACAGGTGGGTTTTCACGTCGTTTCTTCATCAGCCCTAGGGTCCTTTCTGAAAGCTTCGACTTCCTGCCCTTACGCTGCATTTCACAAAATCTCATACCTTCTTCCCTGAGGATCTGAACCACATTTTTGAGGTTCTGGTTTACGTCGATTGTGGTTTCCACGGCAGCGAATCGGTTTGCCAGTTTTGACTGGAACGTTTCAGATCCTGTCATGGCCTGGAGCCGAGTTGGTCGGAGCCTGGATTTCATCAAACAGACACGTTCCGCCTTAAAGTTGATATTCAGAGAGCCTCGGACAAGTCGGTGATCACTACCGGTATTAAACCTATTGATCACTGAGACGTCTCTGAATATGTGCTTTCTATCCGTCATGATGAAATCGATCTCATTTCTAGTCATAGCGTCGGGGCTTTGCCACGTCCACTTCCTTTGGGGCTGTTTCTTGAAGAAAGAATTCATCAAAAACAGCCCCTCCCGTTCGAGGAAGTTGACCAGCATTTGCCCCCTATGATTCCTGCTTCCAAATCCATGGGATCCTACTACCGATTCGCTGCAATTCTGTACTCCCACTTTAGCGTTGAAGTCACCCATAACAACGTTGTAGTGGGTCTTAGTTGTGAAGTGGAGGGCCCTCGATATGTCATCGTACATATCCTCCACCTCGTCGTCCGAATGTGCCGAGGTCGGTGCGTACACTTGCACAACCTTGAGGCTATACCTCTCGGTGAGCTTGATAATGAGGTACGCTACCCTGTTCGACACACTGGAAATTTCCACAACGTTGTCAGATAGGGACTTATTCACCAGAAACCCAACCCCACCTTGGGATTGTTGGTCTCCCTCGCGGAAGTACATTAGGTGGCCTGACTCGAGGGTTATGGTGTCCTCCCCCTCTCTTCGGACTTCACATAGCCCTAGGATATGCCACCTAATCTTCCCAAGTTCCACCTCAAGTTGCGCCAGATGCGAGTCTAGCCGTAGCGTGCGTCCGTTGTACGTAGCCAGGGTCAGTCGGTTGTGGTGGCCTCCCGTAGCCCGGAGATTCTTCGCACCCCCTGCCCCGCCTTTACCGTGGTCGCCACCATGACCAGGAATAGCGGGGCCGCCGGGAACTGGGGGCCGTGGCCTTTGTTGCGTCTGCATGAGAGGGGTTTGCCCATAATCGCCACGCTGGGCAGGCGGGTTGGCGATCGCAGGGCGTAGCTTGTCGCACCGGTAACGCTGCTGCCCGTCACCGGCCTGTTATATTTAGCTACGCCTATTGGGATGGATATACCGCCATCGGTCGGTCGCCAGAGCCTCGTTCGTCGTTCAGCAGGATGCACCGCGGGCAGGTGAGGTTGGCTTGGGGCGAAAGATGGTGGTTCGCCCCTCACACCCCTTTTAAAATATGTAGGATATTATTTGTAAGTTTACTACGGATATGTACATAAGTGTTACAAAAAACTACATGTTTTTTAAATAATTTTTATTTAGGATTGTTTATTGCATAATTAGTAATCAGCCGGGAGATTAGGTATTGTTTTGA